AAAGCATGAGCAACTTCAACTTGAGTTTTAGTCTTCAATGGAACAATCCTTCCTTATTTTAAAAATACATCTGTCACCATCAATAAGTATTTTATTCCATTATTGAATTTAGAAAAAGTTTGTATGTCAACTAAATCAGCAGCCCATATATCATCAATCCCATTAGATATTACTTTTCTTTTTCTAAAATGTTTTACAACGGGCCTATGAAGTTCGTTTGCAAGTTCATCACTCAATTTCAGGTTTTTGCTTTTTTTATTGAGCGCCTAAACTTTTTTGGACTTACAACCATACTAAACTTTGCTTTACCAGATAAGGTAAGTTTTATAATCTTTTGTTCCAATTTTTCACGTGGTGTTGGATCTTGTATAGAATCCATTTGTTTAAGCATTATTTCATCAGCTATATTTCTAGTTAGAGTAACTTGATTATATTTATAAGCAAGATCATGAACATAAGCCTCTTTATTAACTCTATCTACTTGTTTATTCCATTCTTTAGGGGTATCAGTAGAAGTTAATCTTTCATCTAAATTGGTGCCATGTCCAGCAAAGTTTATACCTGGTAAATGCATTTCACCTGGAAACTTTGCCCATTGCAATTTTTTATTCTTTGTGAATTTATTAATAGATTCTACTAAATCACCTCCTTTCTTTGCTGATACAAATTGAGTTTTTGTTGTACCACAATTAGCACAATTTCCACGTAACATAGTTCTATTGTTTTTACTAACATCATTTCACCTCAAAGAAGTAAAGTAAATTTTTATATTAGAAACTGATATAAAAAAAATTATATGCATATATAAAATGAAGATATGTGTAAAAGGAATTGGTACTGTTATAAATACTACGCTTGCTCAAAATATTGAACTTGATGATGATAAAGAGTATGAAATGGCTGTAGTTAAATGGCTAATTGGATACATGTAATACTTTTCCAAATATAAATGAAACGAATAAAAAATTCAGTTTTAGTACAGATTATTGTGTTAAATGGGTAGATTTCAATTTTAAAAAAGGAGCATATAGACTTGCATCTTTAACTAAATACTTATAAGATCATTTATTAAAAGAGTCATTTATCTGGTACGATTACATTTACAGCAGAAGTTGCTACAATGAGTACAAATATGACTCTTAATCCAAGGTTTCAAGTTGCTTTTACAATTCCAAATTCAATTAGAGAACTTTTAGGTTTTGAGAGTAAAAAATATTATGGAGGTAGTAATATATCGGAAAAAATAACTAATTTAACGCATGTTAATACTATACATATTACAAATAATCTTGTACAAGGTACATATGTAGATGATAAAATTATAAATACTATGCATTTATTTTTTCTGAAAGTAGGTGTTAAATTTAAAATTACAGAAAAAGTAGATAAACCAAATTATTCAAAAATGACATCAAAAATATCTGTAAATATAACATTACATTGATCGATCATGATAGTCATCTCTCTGAAAATTTAGAGGGAAAATTAACTGTTAAGTACCATATTAGAGAACGTAATGATTTGGGTAACTTTGTAAGAATTTTAATGAGAAATGAATATCTATTAATTGAAATGCTAAGTATTCATAAAATTTATTATAATATATATATATATATATATTTTTTATAATATATATATTTTATAATAAATATATTTTTATAATATATAATTTTATAATATATATATATATATATATATATATATATATATATATATATATATATATATATATATATATATATATATATATATATATATATATTATTTATATATATATAAAATATTATTTTATTAAATAGAAACTATGTAAATAATTTATAAAAATTATTGCATATATAGAAAAAATAGAATATATATTATAATACATATATGTATCTTTTAGAATGTGAGAAAGAAAAAAAGAAAAAAGCAATTGAATCTGAGGCTAACGCTGTTATAAAACTAACACATCAAGATCTAAATGGTGAACATAAAAGAGCTTTAACAGATTCACAAAGAAATAGAATGAAATTAGCATATCTAAAAGATACTGGTATAATACTTAAACTAAGTAGAGCACAACTTAAGCACAACGTTAAAGTATATGGAGGATTTTTACCTTAGCTAGGATTAGTTGGAAGTTTATTAGCTACAAAAGTTTTTCCAGCTATCGCAACAGGATTATTGACTGGAACAGCGGCAGCTGCTGGAAATTCTGTAGTTAATAAAATTGCTGGAAATGGTATTGTCTACATAAAAAAGAATGGACAAAGAATTAAAGTCGGAGCTGCAGGAACGGATTATTTATAGGTCCGTGGGTTAATAGTGATAGTTATTCAGGTATTGTATGTTATTGTATGTTAAAAGTAGAAAAATATATATTTCAGTAGGTAAAGGTTTGTTATTAGGTGAATATTCTCCATTTAAGAATATACCATTATTAAGTTTGATTCTTTAATAGATTAGTTGATCTTAATTTTATAGATATAAATATATATATTTAATAAAAAATATATATTTTTATAAAAATGCACAATCTGGTATGTAAATATTATCTAATCCACTTCTATATTTTCCATAATCTCTTTTGGAAGATAAATCTATAACAGCAAGTCCATGTGGTTCAGACCAAGGTTTATTACAAAATTTTGTAATGAAGCTTGGTCTGAACTCAGCTTTATTAGGCATATCACTTGAAACATGATCATCGTAAGTGTGATTTAAATTCTTTGCATCTTGCGGAAACAAGCATATAAAATTTGCATTTTCTCTTATAGTTCTCCTAGGTAACTCAAATCAATATTGTGCAAGATAGAAACAATCTACATTACCATGACTTCTTCTTATATATTACTTTTCACACATGTTTTGTTTTGTTAATTGTAAATCATCAAATTTTATTAAATTATTCTTATTAGAACCAAGATCTACTGGTCTAATATAAAACAGTTTATCTAGATCTAAAACTATTTATCTAGATCTTAGGCAGTTTGGAGTTGATTCAACTGCTCCACCACTATCTATAGATCAGAAATATCGATTAGATAAGATATTTAAAAAGAGCTAGAATGTGAATGAAGTTGAAGAGCTATGTTAAGTAAAATATTTCACAGAGCTTCAATAATTATTTTAGCAATTGATTAATCATTATTAGCAACTACTAAGACACTTGCAGCTGTTAGAATAGGTCTTTTATCAACTATAGTAGCAGCACCAGTTGCTATTGCACTTGAAGGAGCTGCATTAGGTGTAGGTGTATTATTATTAATAGGATCACAAATTGTTAAAAAATTAAACATAAAAGCAGAAAAGATTATAAGTGTTAAAGTGATGGCTGATACAAAACTAAATTCTATAAGTGAAAAGATTTTTAAAGCTTTAATAGATGGTAATATCGATGATGTAGAATTTACAATAATACTTGGAGAACTTCAAAAGTTTAAATGTCTGAACAAATTAGAACAAAATTTAAAAGTGATATTGATAAACAAACTATAGAATCACTTATTAATATAGGTAGAGATAAAGTAATGAAAGAAGCTATGAAATTGTTAGAGTTAAATCAAAATTTTAGCAAAATAAATATTTATTAAACCATAATATATGTTCCTTTAAATTATATATTATATTTATTAAAAACATTATAGATATTAAAGAGATTTAGCTATTCTGGACTATGTAAATAACTTAAAGAATTGTTAATCTATGAAACAGATTTTAAAAAATTATTTTATATGCAAAATGCCATTTTTAAAAACTACAGATCTTGATAAAAAAGATCAAATGATTAAAGAAGTAATAGAATCAAGGAAAAAGATATATCAGAAATCTTTGAATGAAAGCTTAGACGCTAATCATTTACAGATTAACTTAACAAAAATGTATAAGCCAATAATTGATGGCCAATCTAAAATAAAAGAAAACTTATCTAAATAAGAAAATAAAGCTCATCAATTAGCAATTGCGTTTTCAATTTCATATATTCCTGAAACTAATGCAATAGCAGAGCATTCCATGCCATCTGAAATTATAAACAACATAACAAAATGTAAATTTGAAATGCAAAGTGTAGCTTGTTGGATTATTAGCTATTTAAACATTTTTTTTAATAGAATGAAATTTTTTTGTTACATCATTTTTTCGTCTGGATGGAAAATGTTGTTAAAATTAGGCTGTACAAAATAATAAGTAAAGTAGTAAAAAAAGAAGTGTTATGGGTTAAAAAATTATTTAAACAAGAATTAGTTAAAAAATTAAAACAAAATGCAAAACTATCATATAAATATGTGAATTTGCTAAAGCCAGATAGTACAAATAATACTGTAGATAATGATGACACTATTGTTGAATCGCTAACAAAATTAAATCTATAAAATCTTATATATAGACCAGATATTTCTTTATAAATAAGTATAAGAGAAATAAAAAATTCAAATTATGATTTTGATCAACATACAACACAAAAAATAACGTCAAATTAAGTTAAAATGCCACCATAACTTAGAATACAACGATGTCCCAACGTTAGTTTTTGTTGTTACACACATAGTTTTGCATAGCAACAAGCATTTGGTAGTCGCAGAGTCAATTTTTTATACGAAATTTACAGCACATTTTATAACTTTATTTATTATGAGATTTTTTAAATTTTTTTGTAAACTTATAAAAGAAATTAAATTTTCAGTTTTGTATAATCCAGGTTCTTCCATACATTGTAGCCATAGTGGTTAGAAATCTCATTCAGAATCCAGAAGTCTGTGGTTTGATCAGGCTATAGCATAGCAAACAACATTGGTACGGACCCCTACCGTGCTTTGTGATAAGACTATAATTGAGCACTTAAGGCGGTTCTCCACTAGTCGAAAAATGTCGCGGCGGGCGAAATTTTTTGCTGCTCCACATGCGCAGCTGAGTCTGCAATACAGGGAAAACAATTTCGCTGCGAAAAAAACCGCTCCGCAAAAAGTTTGAAATTTAATAACTTTTCGCTCATCGACTATTTATCGTTTTAAAACAAACCAATCACATTACTTAAAAATATCAAAAATAAAGATGGAAGTTTCTAATATAGAATTAATAGAAGATAATGAAAATGAACCTAATGAAGAACAAATTGGAGGTGAATTTGATAAAGAAAGCTTTATTGAGGCTGTTTGCAAACTTCGGTGTCTCTAGGACACAAACGAAAAAGCTATAAGGATAGAAATGTAAAAGTAAATTCATGGAAACAGCTTTCATTAATTTTTAATCAGGATGGTATAAAACTTTATCTTGTTAAGTACACTACAAATTTGTTAAACAATTTTTTTTTACAAAAAAATTTGTTTAACAAATTTGTAGTGTATTTAACAAGATAAAATATCTTATGTTGTCTTGTTAAACAAATTTTTTTTACAAATTTGTTTAACAAGATAAAATTTTGGGTTTGTTGATAAAAAAACTCTACATATTCATACATATATAATAATATAACGTAATAATAATTAAATGTATTTATATATATATATATATATATATATATATATATATATATCTGAATATTTTCATTTATATATATGTAGAGTTTTTTATCAACAAACCCAAAATAATATCTTGTTAATATATATATATATATATATATATATATATATATATATATATATATATATATATATATATATATATATATATAAATATATATGTGTATATATATATATATATATATATATATATATATATATATATATATATATATGTATATATATATATATATATGTGTGTATATATATATACATATATATATATATATATATATATATATATATACATATATATATATATATATATATATATATATACATATATATATATATATATATATATATATATATATATATAAATATATATATATATATATATATATATATATATATATATATATATATATATATATATATATATATATATATTATTTTGTGTTTGTATATATACATATTATATATAACTTATGTATATACACATATATGTATATATACTTATATATATATATAACTTTGTGTTTGATTAACATTTAATGAAGTCATACATTCAGTATTAAGTATGTGTTCTACAAAAAACCTTGAAGAATTTGAAAGATAATCTAAAAAAATGTTTAGATCGAAGACGGGCTCTTACAAGATCTGGAGCTGGAGCTTTTTCCTTGCCAAAATGTAAATACTTTGATCAAATGGCTTTTCTTCATGAAAAAAGTTCAAACAAACCAACCGTGAGTAACGTAAAATCGACTACTGAATGTGCGAATTCTAAAAACTTGAATGAAAATTATGCTAGTTTGACTACAGAACTAACAACCTTGCCAATTATTTCTCAACTTTTCATCCCTGCAGATGATTCAAGCGAGAAATGTAAAGATGTACGTATAAACAAAAAGCAAAAATCAGTTATAGAAAACCTTTTTTTAAAGCAAATGAAAGATCTGGACAATCGTTTAATCGATTCTTTAGAAGAAAAAAACAAAACAGTCTGTGAAATGTCTGCTTTTTGTAATAGTCTTAATCCTGTGCTGCAAGGATTACCAATAAAAAAGGCAAGACTAGCTAAGTTAAAAATAAATCAACTTTTATTTGAAATAGAATTTGGAGTTGAATATGAAGACATTTAGAATTTTATAAGTTCTATTTTATTAGTTCTATCTATTTTCTCTTAAAGATAAAAAACAAAAATGTAATTATTATATTTAATCAAAATAAACTTTTGTTTAATTTCATTTTACTCGCTTTACAATATCTAATTGCCAATCTACTCCAGCTTCTTGATTAAAAAATTCTTTAAAAGAATCCCTTACTTTTTTTGCAGTGTCAGAGTAGTTATTTGATGTATTGTTTATAACTACTAAACCATTAACACTAGGCACCTCTTTTCTCCAATCACCAAGTTGTATTCCATTCGGTCCATCCTGATCAACAAAGTTTAAAGGGCAGTAACTAATATTATTATTTACATTTTCAGTCATTAAAAAGTTATGTAAAGCAACTACAGCCTTTGTTATTGCAATAACATTTTCAACATTAGCTATAATTGGTTTATGAAAAACACGAAATCTATTTGATGCAATACCGAAGACATTTTCAACAACTCTTCGCGCTCTACTAAGTCTATAGTTGAAAATAAGTTTATCTGTTAAAAGATTTTTAAAAGCATAGGGCTTCATCATGTGTCTTTTCAATCCAAATGCGTCATCTGCAACGAAAACATAGGGCAAAATTTTATTAGAATTGTTAGATATTTTTGAATCTTTTGGAATTTTTAAAAGGTTGTTCTCTATGGCAAATCCTAATTGACTATTGTTGTAAACACTTCCATCGCTTTGTCTGCCGCTATCACCAATATCTACCAGAATAAAACGGTACTTCGCATCAGAGACAGCCATCATTACTATACTATGTGTCTTTTTATAGTTAAAATAGCTTGATCCTGATCAAGCTGGAGCAAACATTTGAACATGCTTACCATCAATGGCACCAATACAGTGTGGAAAGTGCCATCTGGTTTCAAATTCGTAGGCAATTTTTTCCCACTCAGTTTCAGAATTAGGCGTTTTTACGTATTCTCGTAACAAGTTGTTCCAAATAGCATTACAAGTTTCATGAACTATTCTGCCAACAGTGGTTGGTGACATTCGATAATTAGCAGCTATTGTAGTATGTGCATCCCCAGTTGCCAAATACCTTACTGTTATAGCAAGCCTTTCTTGTGCACAAATAGGTTTACGCATTTTCGTAGTATTTTTTGTTATATCATGAGCCACAATTTGTAAAAGTCTTTTAAAAGTTGAAGGAGACATTCGAAAATATTTGAAAAAAAATCTCATGATCAAAAAGTGTCAAATCATTAATAAGAGTTTGATATTTCCCCTTCAACTTTCTCTCGTTGTAAATCTTTCTAATCCAAAAACGTCTTTTTTTCTTTTTTCTCTTTGCCATATATAAATATTCGTGTATATCTTTCTGAGAAGAAGTAACAGTTTTAACTTTTCCATCTTCTTTTTTTATCGCAAAATTGTAATACTTTTGATAAAGCGAATAACGCTTTTGTTTTCATGTGGAGATTGACACATTTTTGCGGCACGAAAATTTGATTAATCTGCGCATGTGGAGCAGCAAAAAATTTCGCCCGCCGCGACATTTTTCGACTAGTGGAGAACCGCCTTTAAGTAACTACATAAAAAAACAAGAATAATGACAAATTTTTAAATAGCTTCAGAAACCAATACCGCTTTATAACTTCAGACATTATTTCTCATTTTATTTACTCAAATTTCTGCCAATTGATGCAGTATGCTTAAATTTTATCAAGGATTTTGACTCGGCCTAGCACAACAGGCTAATTTATATGTAAAACTATTACAGTGGATTTTCGCTTTTTAACTGATTAGAGATAAAGAGTGCTCCTGGATGATATTTTATCATTTTTTAATGCTGTTCTCAGGCCGTCCCAAAAAGAGGTGTCGAGGGAGTTCCACCCCTCCAAAGCTGTCATATAAGCATTTGAATTGGCACATTGAGCAGGTTTTGGTCTATAGTTGGCATACTACAAAAATTGAGCACATTTTTTTTTTGGTGTCTCTGGTTGGTAAAAAAATACATCCCTCCTTCCAATAAAAGACCTCTTTGGGACGGGTCTGGCTTTTCTTAGTTTCACAAGGATCATTACTCGGACCTTTACTATTCATTGTTTATATTAACGATATATCTAATACAATAAAGAGCGATTGTAAGCTATATGTTAATGATTTTAAAAATATTTCAATTTTGAATTCCTAAAATGATGGTTCACTATTGCAAAATGATCAGAAAAATGTTTAATTCGTCTAAAAAATGGCTAGTTTAGTTAAGTATAATACAATGTTTTGTAATGCATTACGGTCCAAACGGCGTAAGCAATAATTTTATTAACAATATTCAATTAAATGCAAAAGTGAGCAAAGGAGTTTTGGGTGTGGTTCTTACAAATGACCTAAATTGGAAATAACAATTAAAGTCATGCGTCTTTAAAGCCAACTCTATATTTGGTATGATTAAACACAGGTTTAAAGTGTTTGACCCAAAATATTTAGAAATTTCATACTCCATATAATAAAACTCTAATTAAGTCCTCTGTTTTAGTTTGTTATTTATTTAGAAAAGTTGACATAAAAACATTAAAAGTGTGCAGCACAAAGTAACAGGAATTATTTCTATTATTGTAACAACATTAGAATAAAGACAAAAAAGAGCGAATTGATTCAGATGTTCCAATTTTTTAAAGATGTTATCTGTGTCAAACTGTATAATTGAATAGTTTCTAAATCTAATGTCTCAGCAAGTGGTCACAGAATGAATTATTTAAAATAAATATATAAATATGAACCCCGAAATTAATTTATCACAATTAGAGCAGCGAACAGTTGGAATAATTTACCTAATAAATTAATAAAAACATTACAAGATTTAAAGACTTCAACAATTAAATTTAACAACATTTTATTAAATTGTGGCTCGTAGTTATTATAAAATGTGTGTCAACATATTTTATACTGATGTTTTCAAAGTTTTCTGTTTTGAACAAATTTGAATTTAAATCAAAACTATATAGGTAAGAACCTACTTTTCCTTGTTTGCATTTAGCAATTGATCCGTACAATTTTTACACAAGAACATATTAAATTCAATATCAAGTTCACATTTTAAGTGTGAACGTGAATATTGAATTAAAAATTACCATAAAATAATTTGTAAGAAGATATATTTTGAAATTTTCTTATCCAGTAAATTTCTAGTTTTATCAATTTAAAAAACAATTTGTACAGTTAACAGTTATATGGCAACTTACTATTGTCGTTTTTTTTTTTAAATATATTTTACATTTCCTAACAATAAAATCACTAAGCCAATTCTTAAAGAAAAAAGTGTCTATTTTTTATTAAAACTAAATGATTTCAGATTAGCAATAAACAGTTGATTACAATTGGCTGATCTGACACTTTTTTTTTTTTATAAAAGATAGTCAATTTTCGAGTTTTAGTCTGCATTTTTTGCACAATTTTTTCAAAAATATTTTAATATAAAACATTTTTATTTCTTGCTGAATAATAACAATACTTTTTTAATTGGTAATTTTGCAAAAATATAAAAATATTACAGTTACATTTCAAGGATATGTTGCTGTTACATCAATGTTAAGTAAGCACCTAGGTAACCTAAGTAACTATGATATAAAACAATTATATTAATTAAAAACGTAAGATAAAAACAAAAATAAATACAATAATGTTAACATCAATTAAAATAAAAATATACCACAATTTTTTTAATAATAATTATAATAGTTATATAATAAAAATAAAGACATAACTAAACAAAAAAAGTATATGTAAGAAGTTTTTACATATATTTTTATATGGTATACAATAACATAAAGAAATATTTTTTTCTTCAAATACATTCTTTTTAAATTAGTTCTAGTTTTGTTTCTTACTTCTATTTTTCCTAAGATATTGTGGTTATTTTTGATTTTGATTTTCTAGTGTTTTAATATTTTTGCTTATTTATTAATTTTATTATCATTGTTTTTCTTCTCTTTGCTTTCTATACTACTTTTTTTTTATCTAATAACTTTTCCATCTTCTTAAATAAATATTTTAATCATCTAAAATACATTGCATTAATTCAAGTTTTTATATAAAAAGAGTTTAAAAAATAAACTATATAAAATTAAAAACTCTATTTTTCAAAGCAAATATTTTTAAAACACCTGTCATACGCATGTGTGTTTAACATACATGTGCATTGAGAAATACACATTAAAACATTTAAACAAAAGTAAACCATGTCAGATAGTTTGACCTACAAAAATCTTGACCTACTAAGTTGTTCTAAAAGAACATCTAATAAAAAGTGGAACTAGTTTCTAGATAACGTACTGAAGCCGTTGTTGTTTTTAACTGATTATAGTCTTTTTTATTTTCAACCAACTTATGACGCTTTTGTTTTGGACCAGTTTATTTTTCAACCTATTTTATAGATTTCTATTTTTATTCAATTTGAAAAAAATTAATTTTCAAGCGATTATTAAATCTGTATTTTTAAAGTTGTTTTTTAAACAACTAAACTTCTTTTTTTTTTTCAAGTTAACAATCAGTAAGTTTCCCAAGCATTCATTGAACCGTATATTTTCTAATTCAGCATACAAATCAATTAAATTAATGGAATTCTCAAATCACAAATTAACAAAAAATAATAAATTTGTGGCAAAAGAATGTAACAAACAAAACTTTAATTAAAAACCAAAAACCAGACATCAATACAACTGAGAAGTTAAAGTTCATAGGCAAATCAATCTAGACTAGTCTATATAAATGTGATTTGATACTCAGTGGATATATTAAAATATCTAAAAAAAAGAAGAAAGTTTGTGAAAAAGCTGTTTATAAACAGCTTTTTCCCTGACTTACTTTTTTCTTTTTTTTAAATTGTTTGCTGTTTTGAAGTCTGTTTATAAGAAATCTTAGCTCTAATTTGACCATGATGTTAGCAACTTTTAATGATTTTTTCTTTTTTTATAATTGCTAACTTTTTTACAAATACTACGAATAAGAAAATATGAAAAATTGAATATATGAATAATAAAATGAATAATAAAAGAAAATAAATGAATAATAAAAGAAAATAAATGAATAATAAAAAAATGAATAACAAAAGATTATATGAATAATTATTAGAAATATATAAATAGTTATAATAATAATAACAATAATAATAATAATAATAATAATAAATAGATAAAATAATAAGAAAAATAAGAAATTTATTTAACAATTTCTCATTTATGCAACTTGATGATTTAGATTATATTATGTGTAAAAAAAACTATTAGCTGAACCTTGTCATGAATGGTGCTCTTTTGATATATCCAAGACAATTATCTCTGATGGCAAAGTAATAAAAAGTTAATTAAAAAGTCATAGTTTACATTATTTGTTACTTTTATAATGGTTATGTAATGACGTAGGCATTATTTAACCAAAATGTGTTTTATTTTAATTTAAACTTCATTAGAGCTAAACAGCTCGAACTTAAAAATACATTAAAAAAAAAACTTTTTGTTCTTTAGATTTTCATTGACTGACTCTTTTCTCTGGGTAAGCATTATATACACATGTCAAAACAAAGTAGATATATATAAAAATGACTATAGATCCTATATTACCAAAGCCTACGTTAACTAGTCAATTGTTTGCTTTTTTAACTAAAACTTTAAATTTAAGTTCTGTTTATTTGTGCTAGCCAATTTTATTATATTATAATAATGCAGCAAAATATTTAAAAAAAAACGATAAAACGAAATTATCAACCTGTTTTGGAGTAATGTTATCGCCTGCAATCCAGTTTATATATGTTTTTACTTTACCTGATGATATTATACCGATCCCTAACAAAAAGAATACAACACTTTACATTAGATTTAATAAAGGTTAAATGTTCTTTAATACTGCTTTTATAAACATATGTATAATCATTTGTATATAATAGGTTGTAACACCAGTAGTTTCATCACATTTTAGTATAAAATTATACTAACCAACTGTTGTGTTATATTTTAATTTTTTACTGTAAATTTTACATTTTGATTCGGATAATGGACTAAGCCATTCCTTATTTAACTTGATGGAATTTCATTCAAATAAACAAATTGTCTTTTGACTATACAAACTAAAACATACCTTTTCCACACTATAGTTTCATAATTGTAACAAGACTTTGATTGTGTATTTGACATTGTTTTTATTTGACGTATATTCATCTT